TATTTCAATTGATAATGATCTTTGTACGTCACGATGATACAAATTGTCCAAAAGAAAAAAAGAAGATAAAACTTGCAGTATATTAATTTTAAAGTATAGGCTAGAAAAGGTATTTTCTAACTTTTATAATCCTTTTTTAATAAAATTAAAGATTTCGAAATTTGAGTTATTTCACTTTTAAACTCATCAGATATGAGGAGAAGTCTTGTTAAGACAAGTAATTGCTCCCTACATAAAGACTTCTCATTGAATTTCAGTTCAAATCCGGTTTTAAAAAAAACATCAGATGTGAATAATAAGAAAAACGAAGATTCACCATTTATTTGCGGCAGATGACCGATTGCCATTTAAGGCCAACTTTGTGTTGATAGTTCAAGAAATTGAGGAGCTTCCTTACCACTTCATTTAAGAAATAATAATTGTCAAGGATTTAATTGCTGATATTGACGGAAAAGTAGGTGAATGTAAACTTCATAATTGGAAGATGATTTTTCTATTAACTAAATTATCAGTATTAAGTAGTTGTTATAGAAATTTAAATTCTTATTATCAATCTTAATGATAAGATTTTTAATATTATAAAATTATAAAATTTTTTAAAATGTTTGAAGTTTAGACTAAATTGTCATTTGCATTAAAATTAAAGAAGATGTAACTTTTTAAAAAACACTAAATTCTACTTGCCTGAACCTTGATTATGTACAACATGCCTGTTAATTAGGAAAAATTGCATCTTCTTCAATTTTGGTAAAGATGACAATTTGCTCCAAACATTTTAGAGAATTTATAATTTTATAATATTAAAAATCTTATTATTAAGATTTTACTGTAAGTGTTCAAACTTCTATGACAACCAAATATTAGAATTGGTTTTTTTATTTTTATTTTTTCCCTCGTATTAGATTAAAACTTTCTTATTCCATTATATATATTTTTGGCCGGATTCTTATACCATTATATTAACTAGATTTTTCCAGAAATGTTCATGGTTCATTAATGGGTGAATATATTGGGTAATCATCCAACTTTATCAAAATCAACATTTTGGTTATTCAACTCATAACTCTAACAAAATAAATAGTCACGTAGGATATGACGTGGCATAACTGATGATGTGGCACTCATCGGCGGAGCTAAAGACCAAGAATGGATTGCAGCTTTCTTTAATCTTGTCCATTTCATGCAGCAGAAAAACATATATATGCATTGAAAGACGACAAAACTCTATGGAAGAAAGCCATGGTTGAAGGGAAATATGATCGATTGAGGACTCAATTGTGGCTGGAAGGCAAAATTCTGCAAAAATCAAAGGAATTTGGGGAAATTTAAAGGTAAATTCCGTTTCAATTCAAGGTGTCTTGGGTGTAGAAATAGGAAATTTAAAAAGATGAGAGGGGATTATGAGTGAAAGCTAGCAATTTAAAAGATGTTAGGTTTTAATTAAACCTGGTAGGAGTTTTCTCTCTCGCCGCCGCTAGGGTTTCCTTGCGACGGTCGAGTCCCTCGCCTAGGCGTTTCTCCCTGTTTTCGTGCAGGGCTTCTCCCTTGGTTTTCTCTTTTCGTTTCTTCCCATGGCTCATCCGCTTATGTTGGCCTGGACTCATCGCAATCTCGGAGAGGTTTATTTGTTTTTTGAGTCAACCAAATCGTGCCTCCAACAAATGCCGAACTCTGTTTTGCTCCCTGCATCACAGCAATCGACGATGGAGATGATTTTGTTCCGAATAGATCTAGGGTTGGCTCACTGTTTTGCGTGCAATTGTGCCGAGAGAAGGGGTGGCTTGAATCTGTTTTGGCAGGATGAGTTTGCCGTTCAAATTTCCTCTTTCTCGCCATTATCAGATCTAGGGTGGGCTTTGTTGTTCTGGGAGCAATTGTGCCGAGAGAAGCCATCTCACATTGAGGTCGTAATAGTAGATCCGGGTGGATGTCAATGGCTTTTAACAGAGTTTTCCGGCCAACCAGAGACGGATTCCCCTCTGCTTTGGTTGCGTTTAGGTGCCATCAATGCTACCTTGAGCAAATCGGAAAAGGAGAAGGGCATTCTCTTCTTCTGGTTAGGTTCTGCGTGGGAGGATATAAGTGGGTTTTGGTGTGGAAGGTCAAATTTCCATGCTGTGAAGGAAGATGATGGTGTTTTGCAGGGGCAGCATGGCCCTCAAGCTGGTAAAGGGGCTCTAGATCCCTTATTAACCTATGATAGCCAGGGATTGTTGAGGATTGGAACAGATGGGCATATGTTTGGATGCACTTGCAGACGAATTGGGTACCTGGCGACTGCACAGAGGAGAACCACACCCCTCCTCTTGATTATTATTTTTTAAGAAATAGCTTGGATGGCAACCTATAGTTTGGGGACTGTTTGTTGCCAAAATCCGTTCTCTCCCCGAGAAGCTGGTTAATTAGGTGAGGACGTCTAGTAGCTTTTGATGCTCATAGGGACCTTCCTTTCTACATTAGTAGCCCTATTTAGCCCATACAGCGATTGCACTTTGCAATCTCTAGTTGCAGATGGCTCTCTTTACTTAATTGTCTATATTCGTCATGGGCATAGTTTAAATCTGTTACTAGGCTGTAGGTTATGCTTCTGCTGCTGATTTTGCTGTTTAAGCTCTTATGCGTTAGGCTATATGCCATGTGATGGAGTTTTTACTGTACTTTTCTTATTATTCAATATATTTCTCCATTTCTTAT